AAATTCATGTTAATAAATTAAAATACATTTTTATATTTTGGTATTCACTTGTTTGCTGGCTTTTCGAAGTCTTTGTTCAATCAAGACTGAACTTGACTGAGACTACACTGAGTAAAGCATAGAGTACATTGGGTAGTCAAATAAATACTAAAATAAATACCAGCTGCATTATTATATACCACATATATATGTAGTCAACCATTAGCTTGGGTAGCTCTTGACAGCATTTAATTAGCTTGGAAGGGTATCTCAATCCGTGCTTCGAAAGAAAGCCAAAATTCCACAATGTTTAATCTCCACAGTAAACTATGATTTTATTCCAATCAGAATTGTCATTCTGAATTTTCTGCACTGCCTGGCAGAGTATTCCATAGTCATATATGCTCATTTCCTCTGCTTTTACCCTATTTTCTTTTATTTTTCCTTTCTGCTGTTGTCTCACACGACAGGTTTAGCCGCGAGCTGCACTTTGTTGATTGTCAAACACGCACGAGAATTTTAATTTTTTAATGCAAGTTTGTCGAAGAGTCTGCCAAATCGAGTAGATTAAGAACAAGAGCAACTACTGCAAGTCGAGCACAAAAATTACTTCACGCAGAAGTTTGGGCAAATGACAAAGGAAAGTTGGAAACGAAGTTGCACTCAACTGAACTTTTGGGTTACAGCAAAAATATATTTAAAATTATATTTAAAAATCTGTATTTCTATTAATTGGAAAAATAAATTGAAAAAATATATATACATATATTTGAACTGTTGAGCGCATAAATATGCATACGTATTTCATATTTTTAAAGGTTTATTTGCTAAGTTTTATTTATTTTATTTATTTACTAAATTCTAGTTATTTATTTATCTATTTTTTATATTTATATTATTCAACTTATTTTTAATAAAATTCCTGTTACTTTAGCTTCGCTTTCCTTGCCTGTCTTTGCCAAGCGAAGTAATCAAAAAGCTCTTAGAGCTTAGAGAACGTTGCCAGGCGATGAAGCAGCAAAGTTTGCGAATGAAGATAAAACCAGATAAACTGCTCACGTTTAATTTGCTTATAAGTAACTTTGCCTTTAATTAGATATAGAGCGGCTAAGCACAGAAAGTTAACTAAAGCAAAGAAGAAGAATGCAATAGTAATTGTAATAAGCGGAGTTGTTCTTCGGTATATGAGAAAGGAATGCATTTCATCATGTTAAGAAGATAAATAGCTATAGATGTTATATTACAAAATGAACTGGTAAACAGATATTCGTAAATAATGCTGAAATATTATTCAAAATCATTTTTGAAGGCAAATTTTTGTATAAATTAAAAAAAATTACATACCAATTTACCATCAAATATAAATTGTGATTAAGTAAAATTGGGCTATAGTTCATAAATAACAAAGATTCCATTAAAAAAGGAAAAAAAAAGTTAAATAAATAAATAAATAAAATAAGGAATAAGAATACAATAAATAAATAAATAAGTAAATGAATAAATAAATAAATAAAAAAAAAAATAAATAAAATAAAAAAAAATAAATAAAATAAAAAAAAATAAATGAAATAAAAAAAAAATAAATAAAAAAAAATAAAATAAATAAAATTAAAAATAAATAAAATAAATAAAATAACCAAAATAAATAAAAATAAAAAAAAAAAAAATAAAATAAAACATAAATAAATCAAATAAAGTAAAAATAAATAAACAAAAAAATTAATTACCAAATATACAAAAACAAATAAACAAATATTTTTCAATAACATTAAATCTATAAAATACAGTAAAATATATATTAAAAAAAAAATTTATTCTAATTACAATGGAGCTCTACTTATTATTGTGTGTGTGTGTGTGTGTGGGCTTACTTTTTTCAGTCAGTTCTTTGCTTCGGGTTTACATTTTATGCGCGCTTGGGGAAATTTCCCCAATGCCACAGAGTGTGCCAACTCATGGGCAGGAGCAGGAGCAGGAGCAGGGGCGAGGCCTGTGACGCGGGGTTGCCCATTTTTATTATTATTATATTTTTGCCGTTGTTATTGTTGTTTGTTGTTGCTGTTGTTGTTGTGCCTTCTGTTTATGCGTGTGCCGCCGCCTGACCATAAACAAGACATGTCGTCCACTCGACAACGATGCCACTCATCATTGCCAGCGCCGCGGCGTCAGCTCCGATGTTGGCCAGGCCGAAAAACTTGCCTGAACGCACCAAACTCAATGCCGCAAAATTTGTTAACAATTCATTTCCGCGCTTTGGGCTTCATAAATTGCTTTTATTAGCAGCCAACGGAATATAAAACCAACTTTGCCTTCCATTTTCGTTGCTTCTTATTTTTTTTTTTTTTTGAGGTAATAATACACTTGAACTTTTGCATGGCAAATAAAAAGCGTTAAAATGCGTGCGGTGGCAAAGCCAGATGAGAGAGAGAGAGACGGAGAGAGAGAGACGGAGAGAGAGAGAGAGTGGGTGGGTGGGAGAGGGGGCAGCGTGAGCGTGGGCTGTCTGAAAATCAAATTAAAAGAGACGACAGTTGTTGGTGTTTGGGCACCCTTTGCCCTCGAGCCAGTGACAAGTTGTGAAGTGGGACGTGCAAGGACGCAGGACCTCGACGCGTCGACTGGACAGGACTCAGCTCAGCTCGACGTGGACTGCGGACTGCGGACTACGGACTACGGACTGCGGACTGTGGACTGTGTGTAAGTTGTTGACAGGCACGCAGGCAATAAAATTCAATATTTCATTAAAACGCACGTTACGCATACGCAGCGTGTGCTGCTCTTGCCACCTTGCCCCCCCTCGTGCCTCGCGCCTCGTGCCTCGTGTCTAAAAACGTAACGCAAACCGCAAAACTGCGTGTTGCTGCTTTTATCACACGCAGCGTCAACCGTTGACCAGCGCTCAAATCCGATTTCGTGTTATTAGCGCCCCTGCCACGCCCACACACACTACAGCCAACCAGTTCCCTATTTACTTGCCACGCCCCACACACACTCACATGCAAGGCCGGCTGGCCGGCTGGCCGGCTGCCTGGCAGAGTTGTCCTTCTCATCGAAATTGAGTCGTTTGTCGTTTGGCTGATAGGCGCCGGACTGTGGGCGGTGGGCGGTGGGCGGGTGGCCTCGGACGGGTTTCAGACGGCTGACAGATTATTTGCCTTATTATTCATAAGGACTCGGCCGAGCGGGGTCGCCCAGCCAGCTGGCAGTTATTCATTACAGCAGCAGAGGGAGAGCCAACAAAATCAAAAGGGAAGCGGAAAGGGTATGTCGAGTGTTTGAAAAGGTTTGCGACAGGGTTAAGCAAGTTAACTCAACTCTCGCTCATAACTCAATTAGCGCCCGGATTGCTGTCAGCGGAAGCCAGACATACAACAATATGTATGTATATGCATGTGTATACGTTTTGCGATAACTGTATAAAGCTGTAAATTAAATTTGACGAATGCAATAAATGCTAAAGGCGAAGAGGAAATATGTGAAATCTATCTAAATTCAATCGTCAATTGAGAAATTGAAGCAACTAATGGACATTTCATGGCATATGGGAAAAAGTTGACGATATTGTGAATCAGTTCAATTGAACCACAATTGGGAATATATGAATTTTGGAATCGAATTCTAAGTTCTCAACTGCTTTTGCTTTTTATGCAAGCAATTAAGAGAATTGTTTTGTTATTTGGCTCAAAATTCATTTGGAACTGGTTCATGAGTCGGAGTTTTTGTTTTTCGGCAGGAAAGATTTAACGACTAAACTTTAGAACTAGTTCCAAATCAATTTATTTTAGTCTGGTTCGCAGCAGTTTCCACGGGTTGAGAAATAAAGTTCAATTAGTGAACATATGTTC